GAGAGAGAGAGAGAGAGAGAGAGAGAGAGAGAGAGAGAGAGAGAGAGAGAGAGAGTCGAGGGAAAGAAAATCCAAAATAGAAGATGACAAGGTCCAGGAAGAGAAAAGTTCGGCGTCACCGCCGTACACCTACGCCAAAGATAACAATCCGCAACAAAGGCGCATTCGCCGTTAATTCCTATATGGCCCCGGGCCAATCAACTCAACATCGATCCTCATACCCGCACCGACGATCCCGACCATCATGTGCTAACTCCCACCACTGCGATCGTCACCCCGCTGTCGTAAACTCGACACGGTTCACCCAGATCCCATAGTCCGTCGTGGCGATCCAGCGCGCAACCGGTCAGTCTATCGTCAGCCCGACAGGACTTTCCGACTCGCTTCAAACACTCTGCCTAGCCACTGCTTCCCGGAAGCTGGCTTGAGAGTCGAGAACGTAAGAGAGATTTGCGGACGTGCTTGCGAGTTTTTTAGTTGCGACAAGGGAGATAGAAGGGGGAGAAGGTGACTGGAAAGCTGAGGTGTAAGAGGAGAAGCAGGAGGAGAAGACTTTGAGAAGAGTGCTCTACGAACGACATGCTGATCCCTCGGAACTCAAGGTTCAACCAATCAGATTCATTGCGTGATAGGGAGGTCCTATCGATCACGCACCTGATTGGCGAGCGGGAGTTATCGGGGGATCGACCGGGCGTTGTACGCCAGACGTAGAGGGAGAGAAGAGAAAAGGCACGAGAGGAGGTGCAAGACGGGTCCAAGATTCAGATGATCAAGAAAGGGAAATGGGCGCGCGAAAGCAAAGCGGGAGAGAGAGAGAGGGAGAAGGAAAAACAGTTACGGGGAGAGAGAAAAAGGAGGGAGAGGGAAGGGAGGTGCGGGAGAGAGCGATGCGGGGGACAGAGAGGAGGAAGCTTTTGCATGCATGGTGCTGTCAACAAAAAAAGAAAAAGGCACCGAAACAGTTACAGCTTGCCTCTATCCTAATTCAAAATTGAAATCACCATATCCGCGCGCGAAAAAGCGACGCGGGAAAAGAAAATCCTACGCCTATTCGTATTCACGCAAAATTCCGAGAGTTTTCCCCGACATGCCCAAGAACATTCACATACCCAAAAAAGATACGTCGAAGTTCCGCTTATCCCGGAATTCCCAACTACCAAGCCCAATTCCCAGTGCGCTCGCTAAGGCGCACGTAAATTCCCATGTATTTTCTGACTTTGCAAGAAGAAAAACAAAACTCAGCAGTCGAAAAAACTCCCAAAAAGAAAAATGCGGCACCCGAAAGCAAGAACTAAAAACGGGGTTTTCCTGGGGTTGGTATGATACAAGCAAAAGAAAGGGTACGAAAGATGGTACGGGGTCGGGAAGTGGTTCGTCACATATGTGACGCGCAGGGGGTTCCAAAATTATGCGATCTCCTGATTGCATGTCATGGCAAAAAAGAAGAGGGGAGAACAGAGTGATGCATGAGGAACCAAGCGTATCAATAGAGCAGAAAGAAGTACAAAGAACAATAATCGGGCCGCAGATGAGATGGCGACAACATCCGTGGCAAGATCTCTGTAGCCCTGTCATATGCAACCCTCTGCCTCGTGGAGATCGTCCAGGTGACGCCATCCTGGTCCACCTGATCTCCGTGTGCTCTGCACCCTTGCTCGTTGCCGTCTGTCGAATCAGCGTGTAGGTTGACGTCATCGTTGATGCCGTGATCTTCGCGAAGCTTACCGATTCGTGCCGATGAAGGGAGGAGAGAAAAGAAAAAAAAAAAAAAAAGAG